ATTGTATATCATATATCTTTTTCACATGTCTCTCATTAATAATCATATTCACAGATGATTGCCCTAACTGGAAAAGATACAGATGCTTATCAATTTCACTTTAATAATTTTAAGTCCCATATCTACTATATAGTGTATAAGAAATACCTTAAAATCAGAGCAGAGATCTGGATTCTAGACTCAAGCACAGTAGCCCTGCTTTATCCACAAGACATATATTCCAAGTTCCTCAGTAGATGCCTAAAACCAAACATGGTCACCATCCTAATTTATATGTACACAAATTTAATGTATTTTCCATCTTAGCAAAGCCCATATCATGCACTCTGGCCATAAGTTTTGCTATTTGAGATGTCAAAGAAAACTGAGCACAAATTTATTTTTCCTTCTTCACAATTTTATGGATTCAAGATTAGTTCTTACTGTCCATCTTAACAACCTCAGCATGCTTTCATTTCTTCTTTTCATTTTGTTAAGAACCTTCAGCCTTTCACTTACAGGAAGCACTTTACAGCTCCTCTTTGGCACATCCAAGTCACCAGTGTCATTACCCTTGCACTGGGGACCATTAAGTAAAATAAAGATCTCTGGAACACAAGCACCACAACAACCACAACATTCACTTGAGAAGAGCCACTAAGTATATCTGAGAAAATAGCATACACAGCGTGGAAACACTGATGAAAAAACAGTTCATGTTCTGGTCTGGATAGAGCAGGACAGTGTGAGAGTCCATCACAATACTCAAACTGTGGCCAATTTAAAATTGATGAACTGTTTATAACTGAAATTTTCCATTTAACGTTTTCAGACCACAGTAAACTGTCAGTATCTGAAGCCAAATAAATCAAAACCGTAGAGAAGGACAGGACTACTGTGTTCTAGGGTTCTTTCTTAGTTGTACTGTGTAAAAAATTAAACAAATCCAGTAACATCTAGGGCCCACTGTTTATCTTTAATATATGGTCACTGAACTAGAAAAAGTTCTAGCTCTTCAAAAATTATGATTGTATGAGAAAATTTATATATTTCTACCCAGTATTTTCTGCATATACTTCAAGTCACAGTCCTCCATTATTATCATATTAAATACTTTTGAGGAAGAACAGTAACCCCAAAGTAAACCCCTTCTCTTCCAGAATTATCTTGAAAGTTCTGCAAATGTGAAATAAATGTTGAATAGGCCGTATTCTCCTTGAGGAAACCATGTCTTATTTATCTTTGTGTTTCCAGATCTAACTTCTGTTTTTTGGTGAATGAATTAAGTCTTATCAAGAAGTTTTTAAAAATATTCTTTTACATAATTTTTAATTACTGAAAAAAACCCTGCTTTTCAGATCATTAAAAGCACAAGAATGTCAGGATAATGGTCTCAAATCCAGTTTTCAAAAAGTACTACAAACTCAATTCTTTATTTCTTTTTTTTCTTTTCTTTTCTTTT